CTTAAAGCCAGAAAAAGAAAAGATTATTGAAAGGTGGGCACTTAACAAGGCGGCCGTCCAACTGTCCTATCAATGTCCACTTTTAAAATTTGAATTTAGACGGCCGCTTTTACCTGATGGCCATGGATGGCCTCGGGGATTCGTCAACTATTGCAGAAAATATCAAATTACAACTGATTGTATGTTAGTCAGCCAGCCAATTATCTAATACATTTTTAAACGCATGCTAGGATCTTTACGCAGTAAGTTTCTATCTCTGTTTTCTTTCCTTGGTAAGTTTCTATCCCTGTTTTCTTACCTTGGTAAGTTTCTATCTCTATTTTCTTGCCTTGGTAAGTTTCTATCTCTGTTTTTTTATTTTGGTAAGTTTCTATCTCTGTTTTCTTGCCTTGGTAAGTTTCTATCTCTGTTTTTTTTTATTTTGGTAAGTTTCTATCTCTATTTTCTTACCTTGGTAAGTTTCTATCTCTATTTTCTTGCCTTGGTAAGTTTCTATCTCTGTTTTTTTTTTTTGGTAAGTTTCTATCTCTGTTTTCTTGCCTTGGTAAGTTTCTATCTCTGTTTTTTTTATTTTGGTAAGTTTCTATCTCTATTTTCTTACCTTGGTAAGTTTCTATCTCTATTTTCTTGCCTTGGTAAGTTTCTATCTCTGTTTTTTTTATTTTGGTAAGTTTCTATCTCTATTTTCTTACCTTGGTAAGTTTCTATCTCTATTTTCTTGCCTTGGTAAGTTTCTATCTCTGTTTTTTTATTTTGGTAAGTTTCTATCTTTGTTTTCTTACCTTGGTAAGTTTCTATCTTTGTTTTCTTACCTTGGTAAGTTTCTATCTTTGTTTTCTTACCTTGGTAAGTTTCTATCTCTGTTTTCATACCTTGGTAAGTTTCTATATCTCTATTTTCTTACCTTGGTAAGATTCTATCTCTGTTTTCTTGCCTTGGTAAGTTTATATCTCTCTTTTCTTACCTTTTCTAAATCTGTTTTCTTACCTTGAATAGGGAAAGTTTACTGGAAGCCATCTTTGCGTCAATAGTTTCCTGCATTCCAGACAGCGATGATAACAATTCATTTCCAGGGGTTTCTTCAGTCTATCAAACAATAAAACATAGTTTCGAGTCACTGTTATTAAAATTACTTATCTCAACGGAAGTGCTTTAATTTTCAGAACAGAAAATCATCCGAAATCTTATATTTCAAAGATAAAATCGAATGGCGGAAAATCAAATGTAAAGTTCATATGACAGGAAATTCATAACAATCTCAAACAAATTAAACTTTAAACCATTTTACCTTTTTTATTTTCATATTTCAATGCAACCAACCTAGCTGAGGCCACAGATGAGCAGTGAAATATCAGGGAAAGTTTCCTTAACTTGCTTGTATCGAACAAACACACTTGGAATAAGCAATATGTGATTTTTCAGCCTGCCTGGATATACACTCAGAGTAACATCAAAAACATTATATTCACCTGAGTACATAACATCAAAACACACACAAAGATATGCGATTATTTTTGTGCAGATTCTAGATGAGATTTCTAATATTTTTATATGCTATTAATGTGATATTTTAAACCGTTTTTACTACGTTTTTTGAGAACCAAACGTTGTTGACAAATCATTGTTTGTCGAGTTATAGAGAGTTATGAAAATGTAATGTATATAATAAAACAGTTATTGAATGTTTTGTGATATTCCGAATTATGAACGTCTCGTAACCTCGATCTTGATAATTCTGGAAACACAAAAACCTCGTCAATATTATGTCACTTTGGTTGCATTGCTATGTTAAACAGAATGAAGGTCTAAACAACGAACGTGGGAAAACAGTCGACGAAAAAGTCTTACTTATTGCCACAAAAAAGTGTGATAGTTTGTTTGTTTGCCAGCAACTTTGTACTTTTCTTGGTAAATTAACATTGTGTTATTTTCATTTAAGCTTGGTAAATATGCAGACGAAATAATCCCACAAAAGTATTTAACAGTTTACCCGTTGTATGGAATCTTCATCCCCTTTCTTATTGTGATGACTTCCCCCAAGATCAATATACACAGCATCCTGCAGAAAACAAATATAAAGTTGGGTTATAATTTCGTGTCCAGTTATCATGAGTAAAACATCCCCCTTACAAACACCAACTTTGATCCTAATTCCTTCCTATTTCTCGATTACTGGACATGAAATTATTACCTAAACTAAGCTCCATGAAGTAAGTAAGCAACCTTACTGAGAAACAGAATAGCATGCTGCTCCATTTACTGTTCGGAGTACTCTGGATTTTCGGAACACTAATAGAATCGAACCGAAAAGGTCACATGACTGTCATGCGATAGTAACTCCTAATCCTCTCAAAAACTCCTCCTATAACGCCTTATCTCGAATCAATTTACATACTTTGTCGTACATCACTCCACCAACACCACACATTGGCGCGTACAATAATTTCTCTTTTTCATTCAAGGACCTTTTTTTCTCTTTCTCTGGCAGAGGACAAGGATCCGGTAATTTGCTGATCTCTTTAACTTCGAAATCACCAACTCCTAAATAATGAACAAGTTTTACGATTACTACTTGCATTGCGTTGTAAAGAAGGGTAAAAATGACAGAATGTTAATTAACATATTGTGCAGGATTTTGTTATCTTGCTTCTGTTTTGAGATGTATAATACCACAAATACGACTACAGCTGGAATCTGGCGTACCTCATCGCATATAAATCGATTCGAAAAATAGTTGTCATTCTTTTTTCTTCCGAAATTGACTTCAGCCAAGGTAATCACTGCTGCCTTATAGCTAGAATACATCGGGACTAACAGTTGACCGACTATAAATATATTACCCAGTATTCTCTTTGAAAATACCGACGTTTCTGTTAGATTTAGCAAACAAGCCTGACGTTTTGGACTAAAATTTCGCTTGCATGGATTGATATCAATCTTAAACTTTTACACTTTGCCTTAAATAATAGTCTCTGTTGATTATTATCCCGGTAATGAATGAAATATAAAATAATGCAAAATTCTGATAGCTAGTTTTTAATATTATTTTTTTTACTTGAGTACATATGATCCAATTTAAAAATTGCACATCTCAACGAAATTATTCAATATTCATGAAAGACTATACAAATATTTTGCAATAGAATCATCATAAAAAATAATAAATTAAATCGAATTAATATGATCACAATTAAATTTGGAAAAAAGTAGTAAATCTCATACATTCGGTGACATCTGTACTTCCGGTTTACAATGCTAATTTCAAAAACTATACGAATGAGTGGGTAATGTCTCGCTCCATTACGTGTCAAATTTTTATTTAATTGGTTGCATTTTGAGACCGGGTGTTCTAAAACATTTGACCAGTGCTGTACTTGTAGCACAACAACTGAGCTTTTTCTATACCTAAGAGATGAATTTTGCTGTTTGTCTTAACATTAGCTCCACGAACGTAGCCATAAAAGGAAACTTTACGATCACATTTAGGATTTTGACGCAATTCCTCCGCATCTGTGAGGTCTTCGATCCTGAAAGAGATTTAATTTCCTGATCAGCTAGGCACATTGTAATCCACACAATTCTATATAGCTTGAATTCTCTGAACGTAAACCTAACAAACTAGATCCAAAATATCCAATGGGCTCGCATTTCGCGAAATGTCACCCTCTAGAGCTTTCGGAAAATGCGAATCCATAGTGAAGCAACAACATATATTCATTTAATTTGGGGATATAGTTCGTGTCTCGCTGGCTATGAGTCAGGGGTAGCGGTTAGGGCTAGCCTTGGTGTAACCGTGTAAGGATTAGAGTCCATGCCTGAAGACTTAATATTGTGCAGGTATAGCCAACCTTCGAATGGAGCTTAGTCCATGCATGCAAGTGTTGCCATTAATTCTTGGCTTAGATAACTAGCTTCATGATTTTTGGAGTTGTTAGCCAGTAACTGCAGGCTTAGGCTTACAGGTTGTTAGCCAGTAACTGCAGGATATTTTTGTAGTTGGCCTGTAACTGCTGAATTCTTAATGATATTACGTTTTGAAATAGGAGTTAGCCCTGCAGCCATGTTATAGAGTCAGCATTAGCGGGACATGAACACAGAATAGAGACCTTACGAAAGACCTCACAAAAGGCCGATTCAGCCAGAAAAAGCGTAACCGCAGCCACGCCATGATTCGTCATCAAAATGCATTCGCCATGTTCCTAGCCAGTGCGCTGATGAGAGGCAATCATCCCCCTGAACATACGCCATTTGATTATTTTGAAGAGGTGTGAATGCCTCTTATAAGCGCACTGGCTAGGAACATGGCGGCAGCATTGCAACGGTTACGCCAAGATCATAGGCAAAACCAAGTAGCTGTAAGGTATCTATTCTGTGACATAAATCTACAAACTGATATTCTTGATGTTACATGTCAACCAGCAAGACGGATAGAGGAGAAGCATATGAATGTAAACAATAAGCGAAAGTCAAAGAGAAGGGCAGAGCAAGCAAATACGGAAATAAAGATTTGAAAACAAGATTCGAACAAATAATGGAAGGAAAAAATAAGGAAAAAATAATGAGTCGGACAAGACGTGGAACTAATTTAAAGGAAAAGTCTTGATAAGCTTTTTTGCTTAAAATGTATAGAATTTGCACCTGATCCAATGGACCATTTGCATTATAGACTAAATTTTGATCTAGACAAAAATGTCATCACAGCTTGAAAGAGCATCACAAAATTAGTAATATTCCAAAGTTTCGTTGCGAAATGTTGTAAAATGTGGATAATACAGCCGTGCGAAGTTTGCCGTTTTTCAGTCATTTTGTATTACGCACGCAGGAAATTGACAGCCCAATCGGGTGTTGGGGCATCAATTTCCCGTTTGTAATACAAAATGACTGAAAATTGCAAATTTCACAAGGCTATATTATCCGCATTTTACAACATTTCGCAACGAAACTCTGGAATATTACTAATTTTGTGATGCTCTTTCAAGCTGTGATAAAATTTTTATCTAGATCAAAATTTAGTCTATAATGCAAATGGTCCATTGATACATAACATAGCCCTTTAGAGTTTATTTTGTATATTCAAATATTTGCTGTAAGATTGTATACAAGCCAGTGAGCTCCATGTAAATATCTGGAGCGAGAACTCGAGTCCAAAAAGTAAAGATGGCGGAGATTGAAGAACTATTGCAAGGAGTGTGCCGATATTTCATATTTTGAGTAACACCATGGTGTTATTCTATAACGTTTACCTATCAGCCAGAACATAAGGATGAGATGATCTCCAAGCAAGTGGTCTAAATTTTGCTACTGATATAAACCTGCCAAGGTTATGTATTTCTGTCTTTGGGTAGTGACCGTGTGAGATTCCCGATATGTAAAACAACTTTGCTCCCTGTATAAAAAATGTTAATGTTAATAATATAGCGTTACACAAGGCCAGGTTTTTGTACAAATGCTGGGTGAGGTGAAAAAAACAATTCTAATATATCTAAAATGAATAAAAAGGAATGTTATTTTCCTTGTCGGCTTCGCTTTTGCTTACCTAATAAAGGATGCCGACAAAGGGAAAATTCGCTTCGCTCGTTGCGAATGGGCTTAATGAACTGAAATTTGGGTCAATTATTTATATGGAACTTTGAAATATTATTCATATAGGCATTAAGGCATATGAAAATTGACAAGAACAAAGAAGAAATCCCATTCACTCTTTAAGAATACCATCTGCTAAGGCACGCATGCTGAATAATTTAAAACATCATGCACAAAAGAAAACGATCCATTCCTTGAATGCTTTATAATTTGAGTTTTTATATTAGCCCGTTTAAAAGTCGTTCAGGCATTGCAGAAAACTGGAAAATGAACACAACAAATATAACAAGCAGTAGTAATGCGAAGTTTATAAAAACATGCTACATCGTGAACGACCAAGCTGAAGAAATCACCGGATTCCCTACAAGGGGAGATTTCGTTATTCATATCTTCGCTGTGATTTTTGCAATTACGCTAACCTTTACAACAGTTTTCCTGAACGGCGTTACAGCTATCACAATATGGCGTTCGAGAGTACTGAAGCAAAAGACATCCAATTTCACTATATTACTACAATCCATCGCCGATCTGGCAAATGGAGTATTCTTCATGCCTTTGGTGACTTTTTACACAGTAAACGAGGCTATAGGCGGAACAAGTTGTGTTGTAGGATTCACTCTCAAAAAATGTGGGATGCTCATATTCTTCTACGCTCTAACAACTCTGTCTGCTATGAATTTTGATAGATATTTAGGCACAGTGCATCCATTCTATCATCGACGCGTGCTTACAAACACCAAATTGCTGGTATACGTAGTCTCTATTTGTAGCGTACAAACCATCATTTATGGTTTCAGCTTAACCCATAAAGAAATAATACGTCCAATACTGATTACAACTACGACACTCTTCATTTTAATGACAGTTTTCGTGTATCTGACGATTTACTTGAAAATTCGCGACACGAATCGGATACGAGTTATGATGTCACCAGCGGAACGAAGCGATAGGTCCAAAAATACATCAAAGAAACACAGAATGAACAAAGCACGATTTCTCAAAGAAATCAAAGAGGCTAAATCCACTTTTCTAATCGTAATGTGTTGCCTTGTTTGTTTTGTTCCAGCAACGCTTGTGTTTGGCCCTTTAAACGTGAAGTCTAGTTTCAAAGGAGTTGCGATGAAAATTTGGTCCACTCTTTTACACATGTTAAAATCGACCTTAAACCCTGTAATGTACTTTTGGACGAATGATATGCTACGGAAACAAGGCAAAGATCAAATAAAAAGCATTTTTTCAAGCAAACGTTCTTAAATTGGCTGTTAGCTGGTATAACCCAGATTAAACTTTAGTATATAAAAATGAAAGTTTAATTTTACAAAAAAACTTGTGGGATCCATATCGAAAAAATCACAATCTGGTGATCGACCTTCCACCCATTCCGCACGTTGTAACCAATAATCTAAATATAGGCCAAGCCGGGGGTGGGGAGATTATTAAAAAAAAGGTCATCAAGTTTAGATTAGGTTAGGGGTTGGGATTACTGCGAAACGGCCGGACCTTCGTACTGCATGTATAGGCTATGTAAAATATAAAATCATTGATATGTCATTGACATGTAAGAGAAATCGAAATTTCTTTCCACCTGACGATTACTTCTAGATCAAACAGGCTGTAATGGCAACCTTTTGGGGGTAAGAACAACGTAAGAACAAGTTTCCCGGACTTCCAAAGACGTTTTTCAGTAAATCTGGAGTCGGACCAAAACTGGGAAAATCTTGGAAAATGGAAAGGATTTCGCTTTTCGAAATTTTTAACAATTATTTCACCGAAGTGGAGGTGCCAAATGTGACAAAATGTATTGTAGTTGTATGATATATATTATGACTTATGCCAATATATACAGTATAACTGTGATAGATATGTTACTTATTCACATATATATGTATTAAAAGTGCGTGATATACTGTATATTGCAACTTGTGGAATATATAAAAACTTGTGATATATATCACAACTTGTGATCTATATTGATTTATTTTAAGTAGACAAGACAACAATACATATATACAGTATATACATATTATTATGCATTATAGCCTATATTTTTTTTCGAATTGTTATATATATATATTTATAAATGTATGTATGATGGCGAATTAATTGAACTAAACAGTCACATACAGTACATACCTGGTACACCTCAGTCCAAAATCTGTTTTTCAATCTCTTCTTAGTTTTCTTTAAAGACTTGTTGTCCTTGAGAAGGTCAAGATGTGTAAGGACGCCCATAATTTTAGGAAAACCATGAACCTGACAAATATTGAGGAATTCAAAGATTTCCATCTCAAACCCAAAACTAGCATCGATAAGAAGCAAGGCCTAAAAAGAGCCAAGTAATATTTTATTTACAATATTGCACATTATTTTTCCTCAGTCACAGTGACTCAAAATTTTGAGGAAAATGACGCAAATTTACTAAAAAAAAAACAACACAAGAAGTAAATTTGCTCATAAATTTGAGTAATTTTACTCAAAGTTTGAGTTACTGCAGTGGGTGTATTATTTTACTAAATTTTTAGATTTTTTTGCAGTAGATTGCTATAGATACAGGTTAGATTGTTATAGATACAGCTAGATCATATTGACGAAACAGAACTAAGAATGGGGGTGGGGGGAGGGGGATACAACGCTGTCACATGCAGACAAAGGAAAACGACAAAAGCATACGCAGGTGAAAAATATTTGTTGACATTAATTAACGGCATAGTATTAGTGTTTGGGGGTAGGTGCCGTTTGTGGTCGAAGGCTGCAACGTCTTGCTGGCAAAACGTATTGGCATGGCAACAAAGCAGTAACAGGGTAAAGCAGCAACAGCAACAAAGCAGTTCGCCATGAAAATTCTGCCAAGGCATCTCTCCGGCACCTATCACACTTACGAGTCAGTGGGAAAAATACAATCTATAATGGTATATACTTGTTGAACAAACAAAGTATAACTAAAACACAAATTGGGCGGGAAAAGGGCGAAGGGGTAACAGGCGCAACTTGCTGCAACAAGGCAAGAACATGCAATTAGCTAGATCTAGAAAACACGACGCGACGTCTAACACGACGTGAAAATGACGCATGCACCTCGCGTTCACTTCCGGGTTTTAATCTGGGACGGCATAATTATCCAAAAGAATTTATCAGAACCTACCAGGTCTGCAACTTTTGCAATATCAATCATCATATTCATGTCATTTTCACATTCAATTATGGTTAAACGTCTTTTCTTTCCTAAAAAAAAGGCACAATCATGTTAGCATTTGCGAATGTTTGCTTGCGTAAATGCTTTTCGCCTCTGAGACGGGTGACGGGGTTCGATTCCAGCAAGATAAAACTTGCATTGAATTCAAAGCGAGATGTGACATTAAAGGGGAAGTTGAATTCGTTACGCACTGATCCGAGTTCTGACTTATCACCTATACTGGTGACATATTTAGCCTATTGAACCTTTGTACCATTCAGAGAAATTTGAACTGTGCTTACTGTAGATGGCGGAAAAATTTGTCTTATGATTCTCCATAGTTCTCTGGGATATTGCTTTTCCCTCTTAATTAACCGATTATAATATTTAGCTATGGCTAGTTTTAACTGAAGTCATAATTTTGTTCCGCATCGCCAAATAGCCTTCCCATAGACGTTTTTCTCTTTTCCGTTGTTGACTTTGATGCTTTTCTCTATTTCGTTACAAGTTGACTTTGATGCTTTTCTAAAAATTCTATCCCTTTGGATAATCATAGCATGTACATGTATGTAGAACTGATGTAAACCAGGGCTTCCCTTTTTGACGGATCTTTATTCTTTTAATTGGAGCATGCTTGTTCATTACTTCAAGATAGGTACAAACATTCCCATGCATTCCAACTATCCTCAATGTCATCAAAGATCAAAGGGTTTTATTACATCCCATGAGACACTCTGGAGGTCATTTTGAAAAGTACTAGCTTCAAAGTGCTTTAATGATCGAAATTCTTTATAGCATACTTTTGGTTTCTTAATTTTTTCTTGATGATACAATAGACAATAAAATGGTCACTTATGTTTGACTCAAGGGTCCCGGAGTCAACAACAAGGGATTCATTAATTGTTGACGGCTATTCCATCAATCAATGTAGCGCTGTTACTTGTACAGTAACAGTTATTTGTTATTTGTACGAGAAGTTACAACAATTTCAACGAGAAAGCAATAACGACCTAACGTTAATAAGGTGAAAAAAAGTATATCAACCTGGGAAGAATCTAGTCCCCAGAAATTGTTGGGGAATCTACATTTTTGCACAAATTTTCACAGACATTTTGATAGTTATGTAATTCTGAAAATTGCACAAACTTAATATCAAAATTATTGAAATGATTGAATGCCTAATTAAGGTGGCTCCCTACAGTTGTTTAAGCATGGGACTGGTAACGAAATAACGTGATCTTGTCGAGTTGAAATTTTATCACGTCACACCAAAATTTCATTTGACCACGGAAGGTTTGTAATGCAATTCCTTTTTCCTTTGGTCAACGTTTCTGAAATTTTGTATTTTTAAAGTACTAGTCATTTATTGCAATATACTCAATTTTTAAAAACTCTATAAAACCGCTTTTGTGGAACAAATTTCGCGTAATATGTCAAAAACTGAATTTACAACCCCGCCTTTTGATATAATCTTCCACCTGATATTCCCTTTACACCAACAAAATGTCAGATTTAACTTTGACCGAAGGAAATTTTAATAAATTCATTTTAGTCCGAAATTTGATCTTTATCTGCTGTCGCTTAGGCCACATTTTTACCATAGCAACGCACAATTTGTATAAATAGATGTATAAATACACATCTTCTATTCAAGAATACGCAGCGAAGAGAACCGATGAAAAGTCACGAAATTCCAGATCGAACTTGGCAAGAAGTCGAAATCGACTTGTTCGAACTTGATGATGATTCAGATTATTACTCGAAGTTTTTGAGACAATGAAGCTTCCAAACACCAAAAGCTCAATAGTCATCAGCCACCTTGGACCACGTTTTGGTCCATCTAGTAATCCAGACGAACTTTTAAGCAACAACGGTCCACAATTTACATGTTCTGAGTTCCAGACGTACAAGTAGCAATATCGGTTATACTACGTCATAGCAATACCCGTCATACTACGATATCCACGGTCAAATAACCTGGGTGAACGAACAGAACAAACAGCAAATAAACTTCTGAGAGAAGCCAAACATAGCAAGCCAAACACGACAAGATCGACCCCAATATGGCACCACTCAACCCACGAAACACTCCAATTGAAGGAATTGATTTGTCCCGCTGATCTTTGTCCCCAGTCAAGATGGTAATGGAACGCAGAACAAGAACAGATGTACCAACGTCTCACGTGCAAGCTCCTTAAACCTAAGTATGACGCCACAGAAATTAAAAAGCACCTTCAACAACGACAAGACAAATCCAAACGACACTACAACTGTGGCACACAGAAGCTATATACAGTACAGCCGCTTCACCAAGGAGAACCAGTGAGAATGTACAGTACGACGAAGTTACGAAGCAATGAAGACTAGCAATGGTTTGTAGCCAAGCAGAGCAACCGAGATCATACACATTGGAGACAAAGACAGGTCAGAAGTACAGAAGAAACGGCATAAAATACCCAGAGCCAGAAAGACAAGTAGCTCTTCACCGACAACAAAAATAACGTAAACCTACTGCCGCTGACAAAATGTTGACCGAAAGTCAAAATATCACAACATCAGAACAAGACACAAGTGATTGAGCCAACAAAGACTGCCACACACTCAGGAATAACCACTAAGGAGAGTGAATAATATGAATACTAAGCTACAGTAAGGCAATAGTCATCAATAATTTTTTTCATTGATAAACACTGAATTTATTATACTTATATTTGATTTGCTCTGTTCTGTTATGTATCTATCTCTTATTAATCATTGTAGCTTTGAAAATTTAAATAATTATTATTTACTTTGTTATAACATAACACCAATTTCAAGTGTACAGTATGTGTAACTGTAAGAGTTGTTCTTTCTGTAAACAAGTGGCAAGACTTTTGCAAAGTGTTTTGTCAAGTGCTTGAATAAAAACAAAGTAACTTGCAAAATTGTAAGGAATTTCCGGAAGTTCAATTAATTGTTTATGCTTGGCATGAGACGAGGGACTTTTCTAACCAGCAGTGCACCAAATTTTACCAACCAAAAACAAGTCGTAACATAGCTCTTCGACCAATCAGAGGGGACCTGGTAAGAACCATGTTAATCAAAGCATCACACTTGGTTATTTCATATTTATAAACACTTCTGATAGTCTAATTAACACTAGAAATAGCACAAATTCCACATTTTCTCCACAGTTATGGTGCAAATGGAAACAAAAATGCTGCAAGTCAGACAAGTTGACCTCTCGCTCACAACTTTGTTACTTTGATTTTGCTTGTGATTTCATTTCTCAACCAAGCCCATTAGAGGTTAACCTACGGTGTAGACCCCAGCAGAAACACATTTCGTGAGGGGTCTATGAATAAATGAAGAAAAGCTTGCCCGGCCTACGTCATATCCGTTTTACGTTTTGGGTAAAATTTCTGAAGCAGTGAAGCATGTGTAAATGTAATAGCGGGCTTTGTGCAATACAAATGTGTTCTTTACTTCAATGTCCCGTCGAATAAAAGCGATATTAATTTTGTGGACAGCAAGGAGACTGTACGTAAGGATTAGATGACCTTTCCTTTAAATAACGGTTTAAAATGTGAGCTAGAGCCTAGACAATACGATAACGAACGTGCACGAAACAGCATTAAATACTATTACATTACTATATATTAATAAATATATACATATATTAAATATATACATATATACATATATATATATATATATATATATATATATATATATATATATATATATATATATATATATATATATATATATATATATATAT